ACATAACACAAGAACCAGGGGTTGCCCAATGAAATTAATAGGCAGCAGCTTTAAAACAAACATAAGGAAATACTTGTTCACACAATGCATAGTCAACCTGTGGAACTCATTATCAGGGGTTGTTGTTAAGATCAAAAGTATGAGTGGTTATAAGATAATAAGATAAGTTAATGGAGGATAGATCCATGAATGATAGTCAAGGATGCAACCTCATGCTCTGGGTGTCTCAAAACCTCTGACTGACAGAAGCTGGGACTGGAAGACAGGAGATGGATCATTCAATAAATTGCTTATAAGTTCATTCCCTCTGAAGCAATTGTTGGAAGACAGGACACTGACTTAGGTGGACTGTTGGTCAGACTCACTATGGCCACCCTAGACCAGACAATAGCCTGGTGATTAGGCACTCACTTGGGAAGGAGGAGTCTAGATATGACCTGAAACAACATTGTTCAAATTTCTTTGATTTGCCAAAAAATCCAGAAAATGTTTTTGGTTCAACATGAAACATTTTTTTAAATTATTTTGTTTTATTGGGGGGGAAGGGGCAGGAGGCTCTTCATAGTTATTTGATTTCTGTGGGAGCTAGGCACCACACTAGGTGCCTAGCTGCATCTTTAGGTGCCTAAACACCTGTATATATCTGCCTCTAAGAGACTGAGATGTCTAGGTCCCATTTTCAAAAGTGACTTGAGTGCTTAGGAGCTTAAATATCACTGAGAGTCAATGGGCTTAGCAATGCTAAGCCAAGTAACTCTAAATACCTCTAAAAATCTGGACTTCAGACAAGAAGTGACAAAACTCATGAATCATGATAGCAAGCTTCACATCCACGAGGAAGGATCCCAGTCAGAGGCAGATGGGGGGAAGCAGTTCTGATCACTTTTACTTTTTGTTTTATCTAGTAGCAATGGGAAATTAATCAGACTGAGGTTTGGTTATGGCTGAGCACCCCCTGTTAGGGAAACTGGAATAAGAAATGTTAAATGAAAAAGTTTCCAGGACATAAGTTATTCTGTCCTTCTGTGAGAAGAAAGTGGAAACTTTATCTAACATGCTGAGTGGACTCAAGTTCTGGATGCTAATGTGTGATAACCAGAAAGTGAAACTGATTAGTAACAAACTGTAAACAAACGTGATATTGACTTCTATTTTCATCATCTGTACAGAGTGAGAGGGAAAAAAAGCTAACAAAAAGCAAAAATGGTGGGAAAGCATTTAAGTTCTAAAACTTCTTTCCATTTGTATCATCCACAGTGTTATTAACAAGGCAAGATTATTTTATTATATTTATTTATTTATTTTGTAAAATATATGGGGCTTGATTTCAGAGGTGCCTAGCACAGTCATTTAAGACTGATTAGAAAGGGAGCTTCAGATGATCAGTACCTCTGAAATTCATCACTGTGAATTTTAACCTGATAATGGTCCATAATTTATTATTAATAAGGGCAGTTTTATATTTTATAAGCAGTAAAAATTGGGCCTGTTGTTGCTTGGTATCACATCTTCCCTTCTGGAGTAAGATTGTGGTGAGACTACTGTCACAATATTTAGATGCCTCTGATTTCCTTAATTCTTGTCTTACTGGATGTAGACCTGGCTTTGGCACTGAAACTACATTGGTTGTGTTGGTTGATGATCAGGCAATGTATGAGAATTATGTGTTCTTGCTGGTATTATTAGTTCTGTCCCCTGCCTTTGATCAAAAAATGACGTTGACTTGTCTACAGGCCCTGGCAGGAGTGGACAGAGCTGCTTTTTGTTGGCGTTGTTCTTTTCTCTTGAAGAGATCTCACTGGTAGCTGTTCCTCTTTCCATAGAGCTCTCACATGTCAGGGGCATCATTCTGTCACCTCTCCTGTGCGATGTGTTTATGGGGCTGTTACGAGGATTAATAAGGGGACACGGAGTCTAGTGTTTTTAGTATGTTGATGGCACCCAGCTTTGTGTCTCTCATATAACTCACATAGTTTCATTCGATGCCTCAGTCAGCGTCTAGTTGTGGTATGGAGCTGGCTCAAGCTCAAACCAGCAATACTGAGATGGTGATGAGTGGTTGGGTGAGGTAACTAGAGGAGATAGAAGAAATAACATCAGTTCCTTTAATTGAGGAAGTGCTTCTGTCATTGGGGGTTGTAATTTAGATGTGATTCTGTCCCTCCAGCTATTGTTGGATGATCATAATACAGAAGTAAACTTGTCAGTTTTCTGCTGTCTGTATCTAGCCAGGCGTTCGCAGCCTCCTATGTCATATGTGGATCTTGCTACTAGTATCAAACTCCTGTCAGCTCATGATTAGATTATTGCAATGTGCTCTATATTGGACCACTTATTGTAATCAGGGCAACTGAAATGGTGCAGGAAGCAGCAATTCATTTATTGAGTGGGGCATCTCGCTGGGTGTATATACCATTAGTACTCTGGGATCTGCACTGGGTGCATATTGGTCTCCAAATGGAGTTTAAGTAGTTGGTTATGACTTGGAAAGCATTAAATAACCTGGAAAGTGCCTACTGGGAGAGTACACTTCTCTTCCTGTGACACATTGTCCAAGCTGTGGACACTGGAGATGCTCAAACTAAATCCCCTTTCAGAGATGGAGCTGCTGGGAGTCCACATGGGAGTTCCAGGACTCACCAGTGCCACCACCGTCTTGATCCATATTTGGGGAACCTCTAGAAATTCTGAAAGAGCCATCCGTTTGACAGGGTTCTGGGAGAGGGTTGGGTGAGAAGGAGCCTTTTGTTGTTTTTTGGCTAACTGCCCAAGTAAAGTTGGTCCTCTGTGAATGTTTGTTTTTTAATGCTGCTGGGAGTATTATATTGATAATTGAATTGTCAGGGTGCCTAGATCATTTGGATAGGTTTGTTTTTATTTTTAAATATAAAAAGATAAAATAAATAAAACAACTTACAATTTAAACTCCCGAACCTTCTAAAGGATCTTCCCACTTGGACCATCAGGTCTGAGTGGAGTCCCATCCATTTTACTAAGGCTCTATGCAGACAGAGTCATTAGAAGGATCAGGCTCTAGATAGTCAAAATTTAGGGAAAGGATGAGAAATAAGATGCAAGAAAATGTGAGGTAACTGAGTGGGGAACTTCAGCATGAGTCATGTTACTGTAAAGATTTTATTTTTAAACATGCCTGTAGATCTTAAATTTGTGGAGTAAGGGTTTTTTATTCCTCTGTTCCTTTTATATGTACTATATTTTATTGGCCACACCTCCCAACTATTTCTTTAATATTGACGTTCTCCTTCTTCCACATTCTGGTTCGCACTTTCCATAAACACCATTATTCTGTGAAATACAAATACCACTAAATATCCACAAAAATCAGCAGTTGCATCAAATAACTTGAAGTTGGTGTCATGGGAAATGGATAATTGGACCTACAACCTGGACTGGTGAGGTATAAATCTTTCATGCCAAGAGTAGAGTATGCTGAAATGTTTTAGAACTTGACCTAGTTGTAGAGTGTCATTGAAGTTCTGCTCAGGATAAACTGCTACGTCAATTTGGGCACGTGCCTCAATCCAGTAATCGCATTGTTAATTCCTACATTGTTCGAGTTTATCAGCAGTCCATCAAATTGATAAGTCTGTGCCAAGCTGAACAAGTTTTATTGAAAACATCTGACATAATGGGGAGAGAGAAGAGTCCATTTGTACTGTATCATGCAATAAAAATGCATTAAGTGCAAAATTGTATCCTTTGATAAGAGTAAGAAGAATAATTCTGTCCCAAATGGAAATAGAACCATATTTTTCTTTTAAAGTATGAAATCTTAAGAAGATTAATATATGCTTGCAAACGTCTTAGTAGAAATCTGTGTTCTTTTAACAAAGTGCAACACAATTAATATTCTATTTAAAATAGGATGATAGTAAATGGTATATCAACAATATATGAATACATGTGAACAAATCAATTGTTATAATTAAATATTGGAGGCTGTTGTACCATGGTTTTATAAGGATTATATTTAAAGAGGACTTCCTAGGATAAAAAGGGAAGAACTAGAAAAAAGAATCTGCTGGCTCCATTAGCCACCATATAGCCTGACAGATATCTGATCTGTATCTGCTCCTATTAACGTCTGGAAACAGAATTCTTGATTTCAGGCATATGTTCTACTAACATTCTTCTACAACATGAAGTATCTAACTGCTACTATATGAGATATTATAAAGAAGTTGAGGCTGTTCCAGCATAAGCCTGATAGTCACATCCCTTGCAACTTTGACTAGAATTTTTCTTCAGGCTTCATTTTTTGAGCTTACTCTCAAACTATAGTAGAGCTCTTTATAATTTAAAACAAGGAAGTAATCCAATTGTTTATAGTCATAGGATTTTAAAATTACACTTTCTTGATGTTTTGACCAATTTGTGTCCCTGTTACTTAAAAGTATTGTTTTATTATATTTTATATATGTATATGCATAAAATATAGAGGTTTTACATTTTTTTAATACAAAATAATGTTATTTGCGTGCTTTGACATGGATGTAACTTTCACAACAGATGCCAGTGCATAAAATATATTCTTTAACAAATCTGTCATGTCAAGTATTAACATACTAGAGAAAATCTAGCCGAGTAGCAAAATGATTCTATTAACATTTTTAAACATCAGTACTTGTTCTTTGTCACTGCTGCTTCGTTCTCCATCACAGACATTAATGGCTAACATTTTAGCTGTCAAAATTCTGGCAGAGTGGGCACAGGGGAGTTAAGTGATGCAAGAAGCCTCTTCTTATAAGCTTTTGCCTCCAGTACAGAGGCTGGGCACATTGAGAGTCCTTGTGTTCAGAAAGTCCAAAGCTCAGGGTGCACAGTGCTTTGCAAGTTTGGGCACTAAGAAATCAAACCCAGTCAATTCAATGTCTAAATGTTTTGTCTGTTCAATAGTTTGTTGCTGAGTCAGTATTGTTATCTGTGATGGTCCATATTGTCAGCGATTTCTAGTTACGAAATATTTCTTTTTTTTCCAGTGTGACAATGCAGAAGGACTTAAAGCCTTCTATGATGCAATAAAATATGGACCTAATCATCTGATGGTTTTTGGTGGAGTATGTGCAACAGTCACTTCTATCATTGCTGAATCCCTAAAAGGATGGAATTTGGTTCAGGTAAGTCATGACATATAATATATTTGACTAGTGACTGTCTTCAAATTCTTTAAAGAAATTTTTGGAAAATTAATAACTGTCAAAAGTTTTGATTAATGCTTTGCAAAATGTTAAATGTGAATAACTATACAATAACTTTGAAGGTCAATGAGGTTATATATAAAAAGGACAATAATTTCAAATACTAATTTGAAACTTTAACTTAACACTTTCAGGGATTGGCATGTTGAGGCTTCAAAAATATATTAAAGCTGTTCAGAACATTTGTGATTAGAAATTAAAAGTATTTGGTTTACCTGGTTTGCCTTGGCAGATAGTTATTTACATTTTATGTGATATATGCCTGAAATTGTAAGATTAATGAAATACAGTATAGAGCGATCATTCAAGGAACTTGGTGTGCTAATCCAGTGCCTGATCTAAAGCCCAATAAAGTGAATAGAAAGACTCCCTTTCATAGAATCATAGAATCATAGAATATCAGGGTTGGAAGGGACCTCAGGAGGTCATCTAGTCCATCCCCCTGCTCAAAGCAGGACCAATCCCCAACTAAATCACCCCAGCCAGGGCTTTGTCAAGCCTGACCTTAAAAACCTCTAAGGAAGGAGATTCCACCACCTCCCTAGGTAACCCATTCCAGTGCTTCACCACCCTCCTAGTGAAAACGTTTTTCCTAATATCCAATCTAAACCTCCCCCACTGCAATTTGAGACCATTACTCCTTGTTCTGTCATCTGCTACCACTGAGAACAGTCTAGATCCATCCTCTTTGGAACCCCTTTTCAGGTAATTGAAAGCAGCTATCAAATCCCCCCTCATTCTTCTCTTCTGCAGACTAATCAATCCCAGTTCCCTCAGCCTCTCCTCATAAGTCATGTGCTCCAGCCCTTTAATCATTTTGTTGCCCTCCGCTGGACTCTTTCCAATTTTTCCACATCCTTCTTGTAGTATGGGGCCCAAAACTGGACACAGTACTCCAGATGAGGCCTCACCAATACTGAATAGAGGGGAATGATCATGTTCCTTGATCTGCTGGCAATGCCCCTACTTATACAGCCTAAAATGCCATTAGCCTTCTTGGCAACAAGGGCACACTGTTGACTCATAGCTAGCTTCTCATCCACTGTAACCCCTAGGTCCTTTTCTGCAGAACGGTCTCTAGTCTGTATCAGTGCATGGGATTCTTCCATCCTAAGTGCAGGACTCTGCACTTGTCCTTGTTGAATCTCATTAGATTTCTTTTAGCCCAATCCTCAAATTTGTCTAGGTCCCTCTGTATCCTATCCCTGCCCTCCAGCGTATCTACCACTCCTCCCAGTTTAGTGTCATCTGCAAACTTGCTGAGGGTGCAGTTCACGCCATCCTCCAGATCATTAATGACTTCACAAGGCTTTGACTTTGACTTCAGTAGGATTTGAATCAACATATCCTGAGGTCTTCACTCATTTTTTTTCTTAAGCATTATTCAAGCAAACTCACTCTGACTTCAAAAGAAATTGAAATGAATAATGTTTTAGTAAAAACTAAATAAGGACCTCAGTATTTGGCCCGTACATCACATCTATTCCCAGCTGTTCCCTTCTCTGTCATTCTCAAAGGTCCCACTTTGTGGGAATTTCCCCCAGCCTGCGGAATCGTAGAATTTATTAATACTGATCTTTAAAACAGTCATCCAGATAGGACCAATAAAGAGCAGCATGAAATGCCTGAAGCATGATATGCCCCAAGGCCTAATGAGGAAATCCTTGTCTTCCGGCTCAGAATCTCCAGATTTACAGTGGACCATACAAACTAGCCAGCCAACCTGGGGATGTCATTTGGGATCCTCCCTGGCCTATCCCTCAAACGTGAATGATTTGGAACTGGCTGTGGGAAGGCTTCTGAGCTCTACATACTGTGTATATGACCAGTGTATAACCAGTAAGCTAGCAGTGATGGGAAACGCTCAAAGAGGTCATTTTTAAGTTTGGTTTAGAAGTGGATAAATGACTGAATAGATGGGTAGGTTTATTTGATGAATAAAATATGCTTTTCATACTGTCCCAGGGGAAGTGTACAAAAATTGCATGTTATAAATGTATAACAATTACTTAAGTTCTGTAAGTAATTTTTTTCACACAGGACCCTTACCTAATTCAGTGCACAGGATGGAGACACAAGGGGGCAGAATTAAGGTAGTGAAGGGGACATGCTGGAGTAGTGGGGGTGAAGTTGCAGAGAAGGGAGACTTAGCTGGGTAGCTAAGGTAGTTCACTAGTGAAGGGATAACACTCATTTCATATTAATCAGCATGAGGCAGCACTATGAAGCTTCAAGGGCAAACTTTACCCCAACTAAATGCACTCAACTGGTGGCCTCTGGTATCCTCTCTGTTCCTTCCCTGTAACTCTTCAGAGTTGAGAGTTGTTATTTCACTTGAGTTGTCCTACCAGTATTTGTCAAGAATTTTATCCCTCCCCACAAGTCATTCAGTTTCCCTTTAAATGTCCCCTAAACACTTTCATTTTCTCTGTATTTTAAGAGTGACTCTTTGCAGAGGATTTTCTGATACTTTTTTTATGAAGGATCTTTCATAGAAACCCAAAAAAAGTATTGCTGTCAAGAGAAGATTTTATTTTTATTCCTGCACTATACTTTGGCTGGAGTTTTGTTATTCTAAGCTTAGGTAGCTTGTAAGATGTGGAAAAGGTCTCTTCCACCATGAAAATAGCAGGGTATCCTGGGGGAAGAGGGCGTAGCAGTGGAAAATGTGATATTTTCATTGACTAAATGATGAAAGAACATAAATGAGAGCAGGGTTGGGGATTTCATGAAGTGTAATGGGTGGTGCAGCAGTAATGAATACAACTTTAGATATGGCTTGCAAAAAAGTAATAATGTTTGCTAGACTGTACTGCCATACAGTAGGTATTATTTGTGAATAAGTCTGATGGGTGCATAAGCACAAATCCTTCTGTTCACAAGGTTGCAATTTATTTAATTAGTATCCTTGATTTAAAACTTATCAGTAGCAACAATTATGCAGATCTTGGCAAATGAAGCAATAAATAGCATACAGCATCCCTGAAGACTCAAAACTACCGTCCACCAAAAACTTCAGAGGTTCCACCTAAAGGTGTGACAATGGACACTTATACAGAATCATAGAAAGTAATGTAGATGATGTAATAGTAGAAATTTAGATGAAGCCAAGAAGAGGAATAGGAGGGAAAACAATTTCTATAGATATAACTATTGGCAGTAGGCAGACCTGGCATTACACTGCAAGGAAAAGAATCTGAATTTGGCTCCCTAACCCCCATCACTCTTTTCCTGTGAAAGCCACAGAGGCAGCATATTTAGCCCACAGTATATACTGATTTGATTTACACTGACCCCCTCTGGCTGGCTGAAGTGATGGCTTTTCTCCATGAAAGAGATGCTTCATTGCAGGGCACTCCTGAAGGAGTGGGTGGAGTAGAGAAGAAGAAAATAGAGAGCAGAGGAGCAGAGTAGTTCCTTAAACATCTTTCCATTTGTTATCAAAGATAGGGATAGCTTTCCTGCTCACAGCTTGATATTTTCCCCAAAACTTTCTAGACCAAGTGAAAAATACTTGTGCCACCATGCTTCCAAAGCTGTCCCTCTCTTCCCCTCTCCCAAAACATCCCCCAAATCAACCACACCCATGCAATATAAGGGAATAAAATAGTCACATGATGTTTATTATTTATTGAGTTGCAGCATTATTAATGAACTTTCTAAATAATGAACTTAACAAAATGGATTGTATCCTGCCTTCCGTGAATTTATTATTCATTCTTTCAACATCCTGACTTTTTCACTCCACTCTTTCTTTCTTATTTTAGGTCACATTTTTCACACAGTTTTGAAATTGTTGTTGCGTTTTTTCTTCTTAAGAAGGCAGTCTTTAGCAAAGTCAGGGAGTTGGTAGGTAAGATCCCTTGGGAAGCAATTCTAAGGGGAAAAACAGTTTAAGAGAGTTGGCAGAAACATTAAGGGCACAAGAGCAAACAATCCCACTGCCTAGGAAACATAGGAAGTATGGCAAGTGACCACTCTGGCTTAACCAGGAGATCTTCAATGATCTGAAACTCAAAAAAGGGTCCTACAAAAAGTTGAAACTAGGTCAAATTGCTCTCTTTAACCTCTGAGGATAGGACCAAAAGCAATGGGCTTCAATTGCAGCAAGGATGGTTTAGGTTGGACATTAGGAAAAAATTACTAACCGTCGCGGTGTTTAAGCACTGGAATAAATTGCCTAGGGAGGTTGTGAAATCTCTGTCACTGGAGATTTTTAAAAGCAAGTGAGACAAATACCTGTCAGGGATGGTCTAGATAATACATAGTCCTGTCTTGAGTTTGGGGGCCTGGACTACAAGACACTCAAGGTCCCTTCCAGTCCTATGATTCTCTGATTCTCCCTCCCTCTGTCCCTTTATCTCCTTTCCTTTCTTACTGTTCATTATGTTCTGTTCTTCTTTTCCCCTTACTTGCTGGCTCTTCTCCTTCCCCAACCCATGATCTCTCTTTCTCTCTCTTACTATCTTTTTAAAAATTATCCCCACAAACATCCAGTGACATATCCATTTTAGATAGTGCCTTTTACAAACCTCAAAATATGCTGCAGAATTACAAACTACATAATAATAATTTCACCCACCACCAAAATGCAGCCACATCTTGGTAGAACACTGCAAAAGGCATATATTTCATAGATAAATTGAGAGGAAAACAACAATAAAAATACATTGGAAAATATGTTGCAGTTGCATTTTATCCATTATTTAAAAGGACTTGAATTTTTGCACAATGACTGAAAATTCTAGTGTGCTCATTCCTGACCACTTAAAAAGATGACAACTTCCTGGGCTTCTGCCTCACAACTCATGCAGGTTTACAAATGGCCTGCAACAACTGAAATGGGAGGGAAGACTGCTAAAGCCCTGGTAGCTAAAGTCTCAGAACGATTGACTTTTTGTCTTAAAGCTATTTAATCA